CCTCATTTTAGCATTGATGAGCTGGGAGTCGTGAGATACAAGGATAGACTGGTGGTTCCATCCAATGAAGAGCTAAAAAGAAAGATGTTAAAAGAAGCCCATCATTCCAAGCTGTCTATCCACCCTGGTAGCAACAAGATGTACCATGATCTACGCCAACTATACTGGTGGTCTTACATGAAGCAAGATATCACCCAGTTCATTGCGGAGTGTGACACTTGTGGTAGAGTCAAGGCAGATCATATGCGTACTCCTGGATATCTGCAGCCCTTGCCCATTCCTGTTTGGAAATGGGAGGATATTTTCCTGGATTTCATTGTGGGTTTACCCCGCACCTCCTCAGGCTTTGATTCTATTTGGGTCATTGTGGACCGTCTCACCAAGTCTGCCCACTTCCTTCCGGTGGACACTAGATATAATGCCAAGAAGTATGCGGAGTTATACTTTGATCGGATTGTGACCCTACATGGAGTTCCTCGCACCATCATCTCTGATAGAGGGTCAGTTTTTGTCTCTCGTTTCTGGGAGAAACTCCAGGAGTGTTTGGGTACTGCCTCTCTCGAAGCTCGGCATACCATCCCCAGACTGATGGTCAAACTGAAAGGGTGAACCAGGTGCTCGAGGATATGTTGCGGGCTTGTACCATCTCTTTTCCCGAGAAGTGGGATCAGTGTTTGAAGCTAGCCGAATTTTCTTATAATAATGACTATCATGAGAGTATCCGTATGGCACCATTTGAAGCTTTATATGGATGAAGTGTAGGACGCCACTAAACTGGGTTGAGGTAGGAGACCGTGGGTACTTCAGGCCGGATTTCATAAAGGAGGCTCGAGAGAAAGTAAATATAATTCGTGAACACTTGAAGTCAGCTCAGAGTCGACAGAAGGCTTATGCAGACAAACGAAGAAGACCTTTGGAATTTGCAGCTGGAGATTATGTGTATCTCAAGGTATCTCCTTTGAGAGGGGTACATCGGTTTGGTGTCCATGGCAAGTTAGCCCCTCGGTATGTGGGTCCATACAAGGTGTTGCAGCAGTGTGGTCCTGTTGCTTATCGTCTCCAACTCCCTGAAATTCTCTCGGCAGTTCACAATGTATTTCACGTCTCGCAACTGAAGAAATGCCTACGAGTTCCTGAAGAATCTGTAGAAATAGAAGGACTTCCGCTCCAACCTGATCTGTCTTATGTGGAGCATCCTATAAAAATTTTGGATGAGAAGGAGAGAGTGACCAGGAACAGGGTGATAAAGTTTTACAAGGTACAATGACAAAATCATTCTGAGGCTGAAGCCACGTGGGAACAAGAGAGTTACCTATTGAAGCATTACCTCCATCTCCTCAATGGTTCTGATAGTTAGTTGCTACGTCGAAATGTATTTTCTATCTTGTTCTCACACTAGCCACATGAAATCTCGGGTCGAGATTTTGTTTTAGGGGGTAGATTTGTAACACCCTCGGTGTTACGCCTTAATTAAAATATTAAACCATGTCATGAGCATCATGTTTATGTATTATTGCATGTGGTAAATGAGAAATTAAATTTTATTGCACTAATTCTCAAATTGAGCTCTAATTTATTCCTTGTCCAAGTTGTCCTTCCAGCACGTCATCTCTCTCCACGTGAGAGCTCCTTAGCCACAAAGTCAAATGATAAATTATTGTCATTCACTAATTATTAGCATACCACTTGGCAAGATTTATATCTCCATCAATCTCGCGACGCGCCACTGTCATCTCTCGTTGTTCTAATTATCCCGCCTTTACTTCGCTTGCTAATCACCTTGCAAAATTACCAGTGCACGACGCGCTGTCGCTGCCATAGTGTGTCGCACACGCTACGCATTTATATCACGCACAAGCTCAGCCCGCTAAGCACTCCGCTCGCTCACTGCTCAGCTGTTTTGCAAATGAAGGTCAGGCACTTTTTCCACACGCGACACTGTAGCAGCGTAGAAACACTATTCGCAGTAGGAAACACGGTTCCTGATGCTTGATCCTTTCCTCACGACAGCACTGTAGCATTGAAGATTTTCCACACGGTAGGCCTGAAGCCGCCCAGAAAACACTGTTCATCCGACGGAACACTGTTCACGCGTAGACACTACTGTAGCATCGAAGAACTGTAGCTCTGCAGAAAGCACTGTTCATCCGAGCGAAGACGTCGTTCCTCGCACCGCTTTATTACCTTTAAGCAAGCTAGTTAGCCACTAACCTTACGACGCGTCGCTGTCGCGTCTTTGCTTCTCCATTCCTGCGTCTCCTGTCTTTAAAAGGATACGCCGAGCTATCTCGCTCCGCTGCTCACTTGTTTCTTCCTCTCAAATCAAGTTCTTCTGTTCTTGCCCGAGAGAGCTGCGTCTATCGATTTCTCCCCGAGCTATAGTCAGCTGAGGTAGCTAGTTTACAATTGATCTTCTTATTCTCTAATGTTTCCTTGACCTGTGGTCTCCTCCTCCATTAATTCCTTGACCTGCATGAATGAACCAGCACCCCACCGCCAAGCACGTTCAGCCCAAAGCCCACTCCAGTCCTGACGTGCTCGTAAGTCCAAGACCACTCAAAGTTCATTCTTGAATTAATTCTGTCATGACCAAAGACCACACCACCGCACACGGCACGGAGCCAGAGGACAACCCTGCCAACTCGTTTCGTGCTTCCAGACTACCTAGCTTGTCATGACCACCCACAACCAGTGCTATATATGGTTCTGCTCCGCTCCACGCAGGGCAAGCAATTGCTAAGCTCCCTGGTGTCTCTCATCTTGCATTGCCTCCGCACATCGATCACCGTAGGAGGCACTTCATTCAATTCCGAGGTAGTTAGCCTACAAGAATTCCTTCATCCTCCTTCTCTATTATTTTCTGGACCCGCGGTCTCATCTTGTATTTCTAGACCCACAGTCATGTGCAAGTCATCAAGTCCAATAGCATGATTATCCTTCTCCAATAATATCATTTTCTTCATCTCTAGAGCTCATTTGAATTTATTTATTGATTGTGAAATAAATTTTGTTAGATTCCTAAATTCATGGTCTATCTGTTAGTGTAATTAGTTCGTATAGTTCAGTGATACCTTTAGGGTTACTTTATTATTTTGAAATGCTTATTATGAGAATGAATTTTTTTTATGATGCATGGTAGCTAGTGCACCTTGTTTTATTATATATATAGTAAATTGATATTAACAATAAGGATGCCTTTAGTTGCTAAGATAATACATGAAATGTTTCATACTTGTTTAGTGGGAATAATAGGTAACTTTGCGTATTAGTCATTAGAGTTAGCTTAGTAGCTTGATAGATGTATTCTTATTTTAAGAGTTGCGGTTGCCTATATATTAATTATTGCATCATCATCACTGCATGCATATAGAGGACGAGCCACTGGAGATCGTGACATTCGGCGAGCAGGAGTACGACAAAGTCATCGAAGAGTACGAGGAGATCCTCGTGCAGGAGGACGTTCCGGAGCCACCCGTCACTGACTTTGCTGACACCGCGCCTGCCCAAGGCAAGCCCCGGTGCATAACCCCTATTTTTAAATAATCTGAATATATTTATATGATATGCATTTACGTTACAGGCATTTTATGGAAGCTACATGCATAAATATATCCACCATAAGTCCTACTAGTATAGGTCGAGTAGCTGCTATGCTCAGGATGTCGGTAGCGTGAGTAACCTGTCGTTACTCGCAAATAGGTGTTTAAACTGTGATATCATGATGAAATAATGGAAAGGAAAATGGTGACCGGATAGGGATGTGGATTTGGTACTGGTGGGTGTGAGGGGTTGTGTCCTGCGGCCAATAGGGCATAGCCCGGTTACACTTTTTCCCTGCCTGTGTCGATTAAGGACTGGTCGTTGCATATGACTCTAGGCAAGTCACAGATTATTGTCCCGAGCACATACTTGGGTATGGGCGCAGGGAAGGCTTGCTGCTATCTTGTTGCGGATCCGGCTCTTTCCGGACCGACTGATGGGAAGAGGAGGTGGTGGAGGTCCTTGCACCGCACTGAGTCCGGGACTCAGGATGTGGGGGCTTGGAGTCTAAGTTTGGACGGGGACCTAGACACCGGGACAGAGAGTGGTGGGTTAGTCTGCTTGTGCACAGGGTACAAGCGGGCGTGTAGGTCTTCAGGGCACCAGTGGGCACATTGATTCATGAATCGCCGGGTTATCCGGTACGGCTTGTCTGCGGTTTAGCACCGTAGTAAGAACTGAAAGTTGAAAGGAGAAGAAATGGAACTGATTGCTCAACTCTTGCTTGAAAGTAGAACAGGCTTATATAGATTGACTACATGAAAACTTAATACGGCTGATGATAATAATGTATCAATAAGGACTCACTATTAGTATTGCTTTTTGCTAAAAGAGAACCAGCAAACCATAAAGCCTAGCATATTCCTTGGAGTCGGGAAAGTATTCCCACTGTCGGATAAGTCTTGCGAGTACATTGTGTACTCAGGGTTTATTTACCCCTGTTGCAGGTGATGCTTGAGAAGTACCTTTGTGTGGAGGATTCTTCTGGTGGGCTCAGACGGATCCTCGTTCTTATCGCTAGATGTTTATTTTAAATTCCGCTGTTTATCATTCCGCACTCTGATATTTGGTATTGTAATAATGTACTTTTAAGAAACTCTGATGTATGAAATGGACAAGTATTATAACTCGTTTTCATTATTGGATCCTTGGGAAAAATGTGGATCTTTCGGGTTCTCCCTTGGGGTGTGCTCGACGGACACCGCTCGCTGTAGCCTGCTTTCGGGGTGCTTAGTGTCTGGTGGAAGACGAGCGCCTCCGTAAGTGTGCTATTTCGGGCGGTTCTGCCACAATATAGATGCATTCCATGCTCAAACACATCGTTCAAGTTCAAGTAAGTGCTTCTTCCACTATTTGCTTGCTTCCCAATCTCATAGTAGGATACACCTACATACTGAATGCAAACTGACAACAGGTACAAGGTGTGTTTCATAGCCCTCGATGGCACTGATGAAGCTGAGATGGTTTGCTTTGGAGACATTGCTCGTCGTATGATTGGGAAGCCTGTCCAGCAGCTTCTGAGGACATCTACAAGTGCTAATGCATATCCACCTGATATAACAAAGCTGGTCTCTCTTAGATTCACTTTCGTAGTTACAATGACCCGTTAGAGCTACTACAGGGCCTAGAAGACCTACAATGTTGCATCTCTGGTGACAGCACATGGCCATCCTGTTGCTGTTCCGGCTAATGCTGCACGTGGTAATGCTGGAAACAAAGACCATGGCCATCTTCGTGCCGCTGAATCTGGTGATTCCTCGGGTACAAGTGATGGTGCAGATACACATCAGCTGTTGTCTGCTGGTACATCGGATGGCACTCTGTCTTCACCAGGCCCTTTAAACGTATGTTTCTTCTAACACCTAGATTTAGTGGCGCTGTTTCAAGGCTTTTGTGTGCGCTGATCACAATCCTTGCTTCCTGCAGACTCCACCGCCCAAGCTTGATGGCCTTGAAACACCGGTGTCGAAGAAACGTTCTAGAAGGTAATATATTTGCTCTGTGCCTCTCCAACACATTCACCATATGTCTGTTCATCTGTGTTTGATTGCTCCTCATCCACAGTGGCCCATCCAAGAGCAGCAACCATCCTTCCTCTCGCCATAGGCTTTTCAAAGAGGGTACTGGTGCTGACATTGCTGATCCAGACGGTGCAGGCGCAAGGTATGCAGTCATCATGCTCTTGTAGTCTAGGCCAACTGCTAGCTTTCAGAACATCTCATGGCTCAAATGTGATTCACTATTCCTTGTTGTTAGCCATTTCTTCATGATTTAGAAAAAATCGTACCTCCTTATTTTAAATGAACTTTATCATACATATAAAATCAAAGGCACCATTCAATTGTTACACCAAGGCTAAACAATGTGATAATGCTGTACACCTCTCTTCAGAAGAACTAATTCTTTGCCTCTGATGCAAAGTCATCTCAACAAATATGGAAAAGATGAGATTATAACCCATGCCATCTCCTGTGTGCCTTCTTACAGCGCTGCGTCTGACAAGACTCAGGCTCCTGAAGATGACCGCTCCTCTGGGGAACCTTCTACCGCTCAGGAGAGCGGCTAGATAAGGCATGCCCCCTAACTTCAAACCTGACTCTTCCCTAGAATCGATAGGTTTTGCAAATTAAGAAAGATCCATTATTGTCCGCAGGTACATTCAGCGGCTCCCATGCTTTTGGTTGGACTGGCTGACTAACACCTGCCGTCCAGAGAAGACTTCTGCCTATTTTTTTGGTGGCGTGGTATCCTCTGCAACGGAAATTAACCCGTCATTCTCTGTCTGTTAGCTTGGCCCCTGTATCGGCCCCCAGGCAGCAACAACTTCTTTTAATAGACCCTTGAACTGGGCATGAGTATGTAAACTCTTTAGTTTATTAGTGGCCCTCTCGCTGGCCTCGTGCATGTTCCTTGGTTATGTCGTGGTTCCACGGGTATGCACCTCGAAACAATTAGCGTCGCCGAATCGACAATAGGAAGGATGTGTCCTTGCTTAGCTCCCTGGTCAAACTGATGTAGCTTAAATTTGGTGTCCTGTTTAGACTCTTTAGTGCAGCGAGAAACTGCTCCTATATGTTACTCTATCTGTTTCTGTGCTGAATTTGTTGTGGTCTCCAATATATAGCAACCTATATCATGATAGACAGTATCCTACATGAGCTAGGCGACGTTCTAGGCATCTGATCGAATATTGGCATGTTGAGCCTGCTAATGTATTGTCTTCCTCGTTTTTAGCTGTGATCTTCAAACAACGCTGCAAAAAGCCAACATAAACATGTATTTTCATCCGTGCCAAACGGAATGCATTGTCCCTGCCGTGTACCAATTAAAAAAAAGATCCATCCCTCCCGTGAATGCCTCCAGTATGGCTGTCAATCCACCGCTGCCCATTCTGGCAAACTGAACATCTATGTAGCCTCCTGTAATATTTAGTTCTTATCTGGACATCTGGTACCTACGTTGCCTCCCTGTTGTAAACTTTAGCTCATATCTGGACATCTAATATCTATATATATTGCGCTTTCTTTATAGATGCTGCTGTGGCTAGCTGATACAACTGATAGAACACATCTTTAGAGAAGACGATACCTACATAATGTTCGTCTGTTTTATTCTGACCAATGATTTTCGCTCATACTTAAGATGTGTTCAAACGTCTATTCCAAATTGGTTTCAAAATAAAAGACCAAAAAAAAACTATCCGTCCTGTTTTCGGCCCAAGGCACACTCTCCCTCGGTCTTCCGTCGCGTTGTCACCCACCTACTGCTCACGAGGCTGAGTCGTCCTCTGGCCCACAACCTTACCTGCCCAGCACGTAGACCAATCCCTTCTCGACAACACCCAGAGCCCCGGACCCACATTGCCCTCCAATCTAGACTCTGCTCAGCGAGGCTGAGTTGTCCTCCACCTCATTCCTAAACGCTGCCCACCTCCAAGCCTCTCTTCTTCTTCTCCCTTCTTCCCACACCTCCTACCGTGTCCAGCTCCTGTCACCCCCCTTCGCCATGAGTCCCAGCTCTGCTTCCTCCATCCCTCACCTGCCAGAGCCCATAACCCCGCCAAAGGACGAAAAACAGCAGCCCCGGATCCAGCCCCATGCGACGCCCATGACACACCTACAGACCATAGAAGATGCTTCAGATCTACAGCTCCTGGAGGACGATGATCAGATCTCGCTGGTACGAAGTCTTGCGTAGTCCCTCATGGTCATCTACGTTCCGACTCTGTTGTTGCTTGATGATAAATATTTCTTGTCTCTAATTTCAGCTTCCCAGACTCCTTAGGATCAGCAGAAAAGAGATGTTCGCCCTGGCCGCGAAGGAGCTGAAGCTAACCATCCAGTCAGAGGCAACCACACAGACTGACGACGGCATGTTCGTCAGTAGACTAACCCTTGGCAATATGCTGGCAAGAGTTTCCTATGACATCGAAACCAAAGAATTTATTGGCAGTGCCGCAATCTCGAAGAACTTAGCGATTGAGAATGCATACCACAGTATACTTAGGTACCTTGAAAACGAGAAACGGATTGAGATTGATGACTACAATGCTGAACGTGTCTCAGAACTAAAGGGCGACATGTTTTTCTCTAAAACATGGCTTATGCTATTTGAAGATAAAGCTAAAAAACTGAAACAATATATCAGTGCAAAGAACACGGCGCTACAACGGGGTTTTCACTCCTTCAATTCAGTGTGCCTTGAAAAGTCCTCCATGGTCCCCCTCCTCGCATGCAAGCAGGCATCACCAGCGAAAAAAAGAGCACGCCAGCAGCCGATTTGTAGCAGCGACAACACAGATCCGTCGTCGGTTTACTCCAAGCTGTCCATGACCTTGTCCAAGCTACGTGCGGAGCTGCTCCGACTTCTTGAACCTGCCGACCAGGACATGTCCCCCCCATCCGAACACGCTACGACCTGAATGGCCCTGCGCTACACCTGACAGGATCGGTACAACTTCTGAAACCAGCACCCCTTCCTTCAACATTCTCTCCAAGCGTGCAATCTATCGCTGCGAGCGTCATCCGTGTTGTGTTAGCCTGGCTCCTGAATTCTGCATCGCTAGCAATGTTCTGTTGCCACTTTTGTGTAAAATTATGTAAGACAGCTACCACGGCAAACTCCATGTTTCGTATAATATATGCTCGCTGTTGTGTTCTTCATCGTTTGTTTCTAAGAAAACAGTATCTCATCATCGTTGATAATTACAGTTGTCAGTTAGGTGACTCAATTTTAGTTAGGCGCCTATAATATTTGTTATTTGTCAGCATTGTGCCATTTCACAGATAGGTTTTCGGCCATTTCTCGCGCGCATGGGCGCGCGCAAATCACTAGTGCTACTTTAGACTGATGAAGCAGAATCTCCTGTGCACATTGTGCAGAGCATCCCCTTAGCAGTAGTAGACCTGCCATCAGATTAATTACGAAATATATTTCATAATAAATTAATTTAAAGACATAATTGTAAATATTATTCATTAAAAACTTGGTCAAACGTGAAATACTTTTCATAGCACGCAACCTATAGTTGCATTTTTTTCTGGACGAGTAGTATTTAGGCCTCGTTCGCTAGTCTAAAACTTGCCTGAAACTAGCTGAAAAACAATGTTCCGGCTGAATTGTTGTGACAGAAAAATCATGTTCCAGCTGAAAAAAAAAAGTCGAACAAGCCGAATATGGGGCAAAGCCGAACATGACCTTAATTAGCTATTCAACGTGGACAAGAAATAAGTAAGAGGGAGAGTAGTCACTGGCGACGAACAAATAAGTGATTTATTTCAGGTAATTCAATAATCTGAGAGAGATACATGTGAGTCTAATAATAAATAAAAAATTAAGAATATATAAAATAATATTTGCTTTTGTCTCTCACCCCCACCTAACAGCACCATTGCGATGACCTAAAATCACGCAAAGAAAGCAGCATCGATTCGGACATTTTTTTTAGCTTGCGCTGAACGCCTCGGATAGCCGCGCAACACCAAAGCGTTGTCGGCACGGCAGAAGCCTGGGATCAGGGATCAGCGATCCATGCGCGAAACCTGGCTGCTCCTGCGGATGAGTGCAACCGGGCAAGGACCGCCCATGCGGTCCAGGTTTGCTAACGCATAGGCATAGGAACCGCGACGTGACGCTGGAATGCTGGATGATCTTAGATCCGGTTAGTTCGGCTTCTTTTTTCAGCTAGAACAGTATTTTTTTTTCTCACACTATTTCAGTCAGAACCGTGTTTTTCAGCCAATTTCAGCCGAGTTTCGGCAAGCCGACGGACCTCTCCTCAACGGGTCAACGGCAATACACGCCGATGCCAGATGCATCGACTCCCCCCGGTCCTTGCCAGGAATGCCAGCAGAACGTCCATTAACCATCGAGACACAGAGTCACAGACACTCACCGAGTGCTCTGCTCATTGAGAGATTCAGGCTAATGAAGGAGTCATCCACTGTTACACAGTCTCAGCCACCAGCTCGTGGGGAGGCTGATAACCAAGATCGTCTCCAGAAAAAATGACATATAGTTTATAACTGTCTTCAACTATCATCGTATACTCAATTTTTTAATATTCAAGTTTTTCAATCACGTATTGATGTCTTCTCTACATACTCCTACTTATAATAGTTTAGTTAAAGTAAAAATATGGTGACTTTTCAACCAACCGGAAATCCGGAATCCGTGTAAAGCGACGTCGTTTCCGAGCTTTTCCACTTTTAGCGCTAGAGGCAGCGACCAGAATCCACAATCCAGTGTTGAACGGATCAGAAAAGGTTACCAAAAAGGAAAAGAGGTTCCCTTCTTTTAATCTCCAAATCACCAAGATGAAAAGGCTAAAGTAACTTAATTCAGCTACTAGACTACTAGAGTTCTTCACACTTGAAAAATCAATCTCAGCTCAATCAATCGCTTTCAGCAGATCCACACCACTAATTAATCAACCCAACACAACACTCCGGCACCAGCTGCTGTTCCTCTTCAGAGCCCAAGCACACTACGGAAAAGAGAGAAAGAGACAGAGGAGGAACGAACAAAAAGGAGTCCCAATTCGAACCAAACGAAGGGGCCGCGGGTAGATTCTTCCCAGCTAGAGTGCTAGACCATCCTGAGGAGCGCGGCGAGCACGGCGACGGCGGCGTAGATGACGGGCGCGTGGGACCTGGCGAAGGCGGCGATGGCGGAGGAACGGTCGCTGGCGGACGGCGGCGGGGACGGCGGCGGCAGCTTCTCGGCCTTGATGGCGAGGCGCATCCCGCCGAAGCAGTAGCCGTAGCTGCAGATGAAGTAGTAGGTCTTGGTCTCGTTCAGCTGGACCGCGAAGCTGCGGCCCTTGCTGTAGTTGTAGATGGCGTTGGTGGCGTCGCACTTGTTGTACCCGACCTCGTCCACCTGCACCACGTCCGCCTGCCCCGCCGTGTAGTAGAACACTGCATGCCGGCACCGGCGGCGGCCGGCGCGAGAGCCGAGGCGCCGCGGGGTCAGAAGCTCAGATCTGAGAAGAAGAGGCACGGAGAAAGAGGAGAAGGGGTGGCCGAGGAAGGAGGAAGGCCAATGCGTGGGCGTGGGGGCCGGGCTTACCCAGCCAGTCGTCCTTGTAGAAGGGGCTGTGCTGCTCCAGCCAGTCGGTGTAGTTGACGTTGGGCTTCCAGTTGATGCTGATCTTGTTCGCCGCCGTCCTCGCCGGCAGCGCCGCGCACGCCGCCAGCACCAGCAGCGCCGCCGCCGCCGCCGTCGCCACGCTCGTCCGCCCCATCACCCCTTCCCCTCTGCTGCTGCCTCCTCCTCCTCTAAGAAGAATGGATCAGCAATGGCCGGACCGCCGGAGCAGTCGACCGAACCAAGCGAAGCGACCAGAGCAGCGCGGTGGTGGCGGCGTTCGCGTGGGTTCCTTCTTGCCTCTTTGTTTGAACTCGCTGCTAGTGAGCTGAGCGGGGGAGTGTGCGTGAACGCGTGATGCGAGGGGATGCGACTTGCGAGTGAGCTGGGGCCAGTAGCGGTGGGGCGCCGGGTGCGGCCCAATTAAAGGCGCGGGCCACATGGGGGCGCCCAGGCTGTGTACCGCGCCAGGTTTCATCGCGGCCGTCCGCTCGCGGATCGTAGGCACCAGCCCGCGGGGGGCATGTGGTGGCCTGGTAGGCCGGGGCGGCCGGGCCCTATCCCGATGGATGAGTGGGTCCCGCCGAGGTACGTGCGCGGTGTGCCGGTGGCCGGTGCATTGGTGCAGTGGGCAGGGAGGCGTTTGTCAGCGTGGGATTTGGCGTGGAGCTTCGCCGTGTGGTGCGGGTCGTGCCAGTGCCACGGCGGCGTGTCCCCGTCCGTCGTTTCGCAGCATGTTCGGCAATCCCTCGTTTTGTTCTGCCCAGGAAACATGGAGCTCCCGTAAGGGCGTCTTCGAGTGATCTTTTTAAACCGCTAACTCAATGTGGAGTTTAGGAAAAAAAAGCAGCGACACCTTTGCATAGAAGATCGTATATACATAGATACAAAAATTATAAAAAGATATTCCCTTGAATAAATTAATTTCTGAAATTGTCTTAAGTCAATTTTTTTAGATTTAACCAAATTTATAAAAAAAAATCAACAATATTTAATACCAAATGAACAAATTATGAAAATTATTTATGTATCAATGATATTAATTTTGTCATAATTTTTGTGCTTTTTCTATAAAATTAGCCAAACTTAAAAATGACTTAGGACAACTCTAGAAATTAATTTATTTAGGGACGAAGGGAGTATACGAGTTTAGCTCTTCATAAAGACTTGATAAGTAGTTATTTTTCATCTTTCATTTTAAAAATGAAATATGCTATGAACTAGCTTTTTGTTCTATGCTACAGCTGTTCTAAGCAGACAACTACTGGACTATTGCTATCTTGGAACTCTAGTGGTTTTCTATGCTATTACGTCCTTTTGTCCAAAGATGGTAGGCCTATTTGATCATAAGAAAAGTCAAATAAAATATATTTTAATCTATAAATTTCTTATAGTGTGTAGTCAATTGCTAAAGAATCAATATCATCTAAGAGTCACTTTAAACACATATTTGTTGTTATAAGTTTTTTGCCCTAAATTTGCACCTGATTTGACTAATTGTTGGACAAACTTTGAAAATTTTGATTTTTCGCTCTAGTCTAATACTCTAATACGCTTATCATTTCTGCACAGTGGGGGTATTACTTGTAGATAAACAATGTTTCGTCTGTTCTATCGAATAAATCAAATTTTAAATTTGTCTCAAGTCAAACTTTCTTAAGTTTCATAAAATTTGTAGGAAAGAGCATAAATATTTGTATCATCAAACAAGCATAATATAAAAAATATATTTTATGGTGTATCTAACGATACTATTTTGATGTTATAATTTTTTTTGACAGAGGTAAAACCTGCTTTTATAAAGCAACATAACGTTCAACAAATACAAAAGCAAAAACGAAAAAAAAACTGGGGAAACCAATTTACACTTAAGTTCCAAACAATTAAACCGATGATTGAACATACTAGCTGTAACACCCTTGGTGTTACCCCGTTAACCATCTACTAAAATATGTCATGAGCATCATACTTGTGTGTTAATGCATGTGATAAAGTGTGTAGATCAATTTCTGTAACTCAAAACGATCAATAAAAACGCTAAACGAAAGTTGACTCGATACTTCATGCATAACAAGTTGGGTTTAAAATCAATTTTTATTAAGCAAAAATGCTGTAGAACATGTGTGTGATACTTAAATAGGGTTTGAAGTACAAACTTTGTAGATGACAATGAAACATTTATTTTTGAAAAATAATATTGCTTTGTAATATTTTCAATAGCCTACAAAACATAAATTGAAATCAAGTTTAGTTCAAAACTTAGAAAATTTCAAAGTCTGTCAACAGCTAGACGCTGCTATGTTTAGCAATTTAATTGGAGAGATTGGGTTAAGAAGTGGTGTAGTGCTATTATTCAGTTTAGTAGTTCCATATGCCATCTTGAGTGTAATGAAGCCGGTTTAGGTTTAGAAGCAACGATTTGGTCGTGATCAACACTTTAATATTCGTGTGTGTACTTGTCTCGGGTGGGTTGGCGCCGGGTGTGCGGTCACCGCGCGGCCTCCCCACGCCGCGCACATGGTCGCGTCTCATGCGGTCACCATGCGCCACGACGTTGGGTCGGTCGGGCTGTCTGGGCTTGGCCGAGGCCGGGCGCAGCGAGCCGTTGGCCCCGCACCCTGCTGTCCTGCCTCGCGCTGCCGCCATTGGTGCCGCCCCAGCCGCGCTGCCGTTGCCGTCGCCTCCGCCTACTGCTGCCTCACGTCGCGACGCTGCCGCTACCATCGTGTTGCTGCCTCACATCGCGCTGCCCCCTCCCTGGCTCGGTTGGGTGTCGTCCGCACGTGGTCGTGCACGTCGTCATCACGCTATTAATGGCGCTGCGGTGCGCGGGCCATGGCCGGGCGCGGACGCTCGCGCTCGTCGCCTCGTGCTTGGACGTAGGTCCCTCGGCTACAACCGCTCGCATCCCGCCAAAGCGAGGACGAACCGACCCCACTTGTCGCACCCCGATTCTCTCTTTCTACCTCTCCTTTCCGCCGTCATCGAGTCGCGGTCACGGTGAGCCAGAGAGCGAGCAGCTCTCATCAATTCCTCATGCCCGCGTCTCCGCCTTTAAGTCCTCTTGCCGACCGCCCCCACCTCGCCTTGATTACGGACAGGCCAAGCTCCAATTCTGGAGCTTTGCTCCCGCCGCCGCGCCAATAACGCCCAGCCCGCCTCATCATGGCCAGCTCCAACCTTGCCATCTCGCATCGAATTGACCGCACCACTAGCCTCGCCTAGAACCCCTCTTCGTCGTGCGCACGATAGTAATAGCTCAAGTGCCGCCTCCTCGCCACTGATGCGGCCGTGCCTTTGCGGTCCGTCATTTACCTCGTAGCGCGCACATGATCAGGCTCGCTCGGGTCATCTCCAACCGAGTCGGCACTTCGGTTAGGTCACTAGTGAGTCGTCATTGCTCATCCGCTACCCCTATTGCCTTGTTGTTGCTGCGGCTCACCAGAACATCGTCGCCTTTGCCGTGGGGTGCTCGTCGTCGTGGAGAGGTCCTTCTACGGCGTTTCGGCTCGTGCAACCGCCGCCCATCGCCTCACGTGGACCCCCATGTGAGATTCGACCTCTTAGCAAGGTTAGCATGGGTCCCGGGTGGCCGGCGCTGTCGCCAGTGCCACCGCTCGCCGCGCCGGAGCGCGCGGGGGATGCTAGGGACCATGCCGTTGTAAAGAGGAGAGAGTACAAGAGTCTTTTTACATAGTTGCTGTCTGTAGGAATAGTAACGTGAACAGCGAGTTGTTTTGTTCATAGTCCAGGGACGTTTTCGCTTATATGTCAGCGCGCGCGGGGTTTCCCGCCGTGGGCCGTACCGCGGGCCACCGCGCGCTCGCATGCCCTCTGCGTCGCATGGGCCGCGTGTGTGCGCCGCGTGGGAGAATTCAATTCTTTTTCAGAAGAAATTAGAAATAGTTTTCTAATATAATTTTTGACTGATATTTGGTAAATCATATAAAATCATGTAGGTCTCCAAAAATTGTGAAACAAATTTTGTTAAGTTCCTAAAATTATGCTCTATCTGTTAGTGTATTTAGTTCATATATGTATATGTTGATAGCAGGAGCTATTAAATCATTTGATTGTGCTTAATATTATTAGGTTAAAAATTATAGGAATTTTTATGGTAAATTGGTGATAGCTTTAATCCTGAAATTTTTATGGTAATTTTCTGGTATTATTATGTGCTCGCTGTAATTTTTGTAGCCCTAGAATATGCTAAGTACTAGGATAGTTAGGTGCTCCTTGTTGTAATATAAGTTAAATCGCTAATAAGAGGAAGATTATATTTTAGTTGCTAAGTTAATACCTGTTAGGTGAATCCAGACCCGTGTTGATAGAAATGATAAGTAGTTAGTATCTTAGCCAATAGAGCTAGTTTAGTAGCTTAGTAGATGTATTCTTATCTTAAGAATTGTTGTTGCCTTAATATTAAGGGTTGCATCGTCATTACATGCATGTAGAGAACGAGTTGGAATGATCACTGGATATATATGTGATGTGCATTTATGTTAAATGATTTATATTGAAACTATATGCATAGATAACCTACATACGAGTCCTACTAGCATAGGTCGAGTAGCTGCTATGCTTGGACTATCGGTAGCGTGAGTAACCTATCGTTACTCACAATAGGTGATTATTATTATTACCCTCATGATAAAATGGTGAAAGAAAATGGAGACCGGGCAGGGATATGGTACGGGTATTGGTGGGTGTAATAGGTTGTGTCTCGCGGCCAACGGGGCATAGCTTGGTTAGACTGTTTTCCCTATCCGTGTGGGTTAAGGATAATCCGTTGCTATGGATTTTAGTCAGATCACAGACTTATTATCCTGAGCACATACTTGCTTATAGGAGAGAAAATGCTCGTTGCTCTTTTGTCATGGGTTCCGGCTTTTTCCGGACTGACTGATTGGAGATGGGGATGGTGGAGGTCTAAGCATCACACTGAGTCCGGGACTCAGGAGTGGGAGCTTAGAGTCCAAGTTTAGACGAGGACCTAGACCCCTTGACAGGAGAGTGGTGGGTTGGTCTTGCTTATGCCTGGGGTATAAGCGGGGCGTATGTTTTGGGGTACACAACTGGAATACATTGGTTCACGAATCACCGTGTGATACGGTATGATTTGGCTATAATCTGGCACCGTAGTAAGAACTAGAAGATAAAAGGGATGAATGGATCTGATTGCTCAACTCTTACTTGAAAGTAGAACATGTGCTTAAATAGAATGGTTACCTAATGAACTAATCATGACTGCTAATAAAGCACATACATAAGGATTCAATACTAGTAATACTTTTCGCAAAAAAGGAACTCAACAAACCATAAAGCTTATCATATCCTTTGGAGTCGGAAAATTATTCCCACTAGTCGGTGAGTCTTGCGAGTACATTGTGTACTCATGGTTTATTTATCCCTGTTGCTGGTGCAGCTTGATGAGTTGCTGTTGCGTGGAGAATTTTTCTGATGGGCACAGACGAATCATTGTATCTTATCGTTAGATGTTTATTTTAATTCCCATGTTTAAATTCCGCACTCTGAACTTGTTACTGTATTAATATATTTTCGAGAACTCTTGTTGTTTGAAATAGACTAAGTATTATAAGCTCATACTCATTATTAGATCCTGGATGTAAAATATGGATTGTTCGAGTTCTTTCTTGGTGTGTGCTCGACAGAACTGTCCGGTGTAGCTTACTTTTGAGATGCTTAGTGTCTAGTTGAAGATGAGCACATTCAAAAACATGCTATTTCGGACGATTCTGCCACAGTAGCCACCAAAGACTAAAGAAAGTAACAGAAACTGACACTACAGCAACCGCTAAAACCGAAACTCCAGGATCAGAGAACGCCTTCAACTTCCATGCCTTTTTGTGAGCTTCCCAAAGGTCTCCAGACATTCCTTCATTATCTGAACTTTCGCATCCATGTACTTAGCATTTCCCGGCTTCAAGAACAAACGCCATTTCTGCATAAGTGTAAAAATTTTCCGGAACACCTCATTAGAAGACTGCAGGTATTTCTTCTCAATCCCCATCTTATTACAATGAATTGAAGAATTTACAATTGATGTTATAAATTTTGTTGTTCTTTTCCATAAATTTGATCAAATTCTAAAAAAGAATTACTTTTAAGAACACCAACCAAATAGGTGAAACCTAAATTAGTGAAGCTTCTAGTTCTATTGCATAGTACCATTTTCGCATCACTTTGGATCCTACATTCAATGTTTAGCCTTTCTAAATGGGTGAAAACAGAGAGATGTTTTATAAATGATTTAAAGAGTATAGGTTTCATGTTTTTTTTTTGAAACTAGGTTTCATGGTTATTTTACCAAACATATTATAACCTTTTCACAACCTATAACTCAAAGTAGCTTTTTATAGCTCATAGCTTACACCATTTTTTAAAGCTCACACCTAAATAAAAAAGACCCTAAAGCTCGCTGCTTCGATCTATCCTGTCCGTTTGAAACCGTTAGGATTTTTCCTTTTGATCATAGAGAATCCGAGAGTTTGGGCAAGCTTTATGTCAAATGTACCTTTTGCAGAGACAGATTTGTTGGAACCTGCGAGGTCAAAAGCGTAAAAAAAAATGGCAATAGCATGCGTCCGGCAACACTTTTACCACTGTTCCTTTTAATTTCTTTTCTTCTCTCTTCCCTTTTTGTCTTCTCCAGTTTTAGCTGCTGGGCTTTGGTTTGCGCTACAAACCAATATTTTTTTTTTGAGAAACCGGGTTTATATTTCACATAAAATTCTGACAGTTTACATCCCAAAACTTACAAAGACATTCTTAAAAGAAAAACAAATTACATCCAGGTCCTTGCAGTGTTCTCCCGATTATCCTCGTCGCCGACGATCGGAGCTGTCGTCCTGAAGCCGGCTGCGTTTCTGACGAAGGAACATCAGAAGTTTTCAGTGGCACCATGAGCAGCACATCGTAAGTACTGACATGCTTTATCACCGCTGAACGTACAAGCCGATCAAGATGGCCAGTGGCCATCACATCGCCGGAGAGTAAAGGATCTGGTGCATCCACCAACAGCTCTGGCTTGCCGGACAATGAGTCTCCCAGAGGGGGATGCAAACCACCAGAAAAGCTGGGAGATAAAGACCAACCCGATTTCTCAAGTTGGTAGACATACCTCCCGAGCTTCCCGCCGGAGAATCCAACATCACCAATGCCGGCGCCGACGGAGACGAGGGAGGGATAGTAAAAGAACCCGACGAGATCCAGATCACTCACCATGAATCCAGATCCGACGAGCTCACAGCTTATTCTCCATGGACCGCCGCCGAAATAAGGAGCTCCACTGCACCCTCCGACAACGCTCCAGAGAAACAAAAGAAACGGCGACCATCTGAGACAAGCCACAGGGAACCCTCACCCTCACCCTACTATATAGCTAACTATATACAGGGGAGAACCAATCCACCGCCGATTCAACCAGTCCCCCTCCTCCTCTAGCACCGCGCGAGGCCGCCAGAGGTGAGGACGACGGCGAATCGACGGAGGAACACGAGATCGCCCTTCGGTCGCCGCTCACTACTGTGTCGCTCTGGAAGGGACGAGAAGGAGCTCGCGTTTTTTTAGATGAAGGTAGGATATTAATTCACTTTAGAAGTGTTTACATCAACAAGCACAGGAGGGGCTCAAGCCATATATATCTTCCAGAACTAAGAGTACATGCAGATTTTGCAATCATATGAGCCTCCCTATTAAAATTCCTACCTTCACGTGCAAACCGCACAAAACTAAAAGACTTTGATTTTTGATGGATATCTTGGAGAATCATCATATAAGAACATGGAGGCATCTCGCTGATATTTTTGACACGAGAAGGAGCCCGCGTGTGCTGGTTTCGCGCTACAAACCAATAACATTAACATTTTGGACCTAGCGGGCCACTTGACCACCTCGTTCTTTCATCCCACATCCATCTGGCCTTTGGGCTTCATGGGCTCACTACCGAACCTAAAACCTAACGGCCTCCGAGGTACATTGTACTCAAGTCAAGAGCACGGCCCGGTCCTCTGCGGACATATAAGCCCACGAGGACGAGACAGAGTAAATGCTGCGCGATCCGTCCTTGTGATCCCATCCCGTAGCAAGTACCAACACCACCAGCGCTGGGTCAGAATCCTCTCGTCTTTCATCAACCACTAAACAGTTGTCAGCCACAGTTGTAGTAGGCCAAGAAAAAGCTGCAGGCAAAAAGTATGGTCGCCATCCCACAGTGTCATCCAGCCAAATGAGAGAAAAAACAGTGGCCGCGCCCGTCAAGCACGGCGCCGGATCGAGTTTTTGCAGACGCGAAAGCAGCAGGGGCCGCTCCGCTACTTCTACTTGTCTCTGTTTTTCTTTTTTTGGGTGGGGGAAGAAGTGAGACGCCTCGCATATGCTAAAGCGGCGCCATGCCATCACGCCAAAGATTTTCTGTTCGTCCGGTCCATCCGTCGTTGTGGCAAGACGCGATGGTCCGTTCCGGCCGCCGAATGCGCTCGTGCTTATCTTAAGGCGCAAGGTTTCTTTCTTTCTCGCATGGAGCGGTCGGATTAGATGCCTGCTCCTTTCCCCTCAACCTAGCGTTAGAGTTGTATATATGAGTTTGAATTGAATTCTTCAAAATTCTACGATCCCGAAATAAGTGTGTTTCAGCCTTTGTTTGGGTTCGGACCAATCGGCATCCGTAGCCTGAAGTAATGAGAGATTATACAGTAATTTGAGCTGGACGGAGTCACGATACGAGTAATTAATCTAATCTTCTCTCTCTATCATCAAATCATGTTGTCTGGTTTATTTTCACTATAAATAAGCCGAGAATCTTCATTTTCGCTTGAGCTACTTTCCGACTATAAAACATTGTTTTCCTCGTACAGATTTTAGCCTAAGCATCGGCCTGCGTACGACCAAAACTGCAAAATTATTTGGTGTGATCGGGCGAGTCAGGGCGACGCAGCTTTGGCCAGGCCTGCCTCTGCCTTTGCCTTGGCCTGCGCCTGTCACTGGCAGCAGGCGGCAGCACAGCCGCAGCCAGCCGCACGGCACAGGACCTGACTGTCCGAGACTGCGAGCCTGTCAGCCCTGCCCTGAATCGATCAGTTCTTTGACCCAAACGCGGAGCCGGTCAGCGAGGCTACGTGAAGTCTACTTTTGCTCAGATCTCGTGATCCATGGCGTCAGCAGATTAGATGAGAATTACGAATAGATAGATGCACTTTCCTCGTCGTGGCCTACTTGCATTTGATAAGCGTCGAGTGTGATCCTGATCCATCTGTTTTACTTGCTTATCGTAGTAGCAGTAGTTTACTATACATACAAATCATTCTGGTGATCTTGTCTCCCTGGTTTGTTTGTTCGATGAAGCTATGAATTGTGTCCTCTGAACAGGTAGGAGTAGGATCGAGACTGCATTGGTTGGTTCATTAATTCCTACAAGAGGCTATTCACAGCAGCAAGCACAGAATCCTTCCCCCAATCAGGGGACGCGTGCGTCCGCTCGTAGTACGCGTCATGGAAAGGCAAAGGATAAAGCTACGCAACCAAATGCTCTTCACCAGAGAGGCTTTGCCCCTTCACCTTTCCTCTCTTTCGCTCCCCATCGGACTGTCTCAGAGGATGGATTCATCAGAGGCAGCATCCACATGAACCCTATATCTGCCTGCGCCTTTTGACCCAACCAACCAACATCAATGACCACCTCGTAAAAGAGAGGAGAGGAGCGATGCAAAAAAAGGCGGCGACGCAAAGCTAGCTACACGCGTCTCCGGATGGCGGGGCCTGGTAGTGGTAGAGTCCCTCTCCAATTCTCCATGGCGCAGGCGCGGGCCGACCGCCAGTGACAGTGGCTGCTGTTCCTCACGTCGTGGCCGGGCAGTCGGACAGAAATGATTAGACGCCGGCCGCCGCGGGCGGCAAGGGAAAGTGGCCCTCGATTGCTTGCGCCGCTTTCCTTGCGATGACGAGCCTTTTGGTTGGGTTGTCTCCTCGCTTTCTACAGGTCTCCACTTCCATGTGCCGCAGGGGATTATTAGGGGCTCTCGCGCTACCAAATCCTCACTTCTGTTTAGGGGTTGTCACCTTCACCTTCGTGAGAGTGAAAAAGGAAACACAACCAATGCTCTTACTGACTTGCCAGCGATATTTATTTCTTTCATCCAGTCTGTTTGTACTTTGGCGAGTCAGTTCTTGAAAACAAAGTGCTCCGATGACCACGAGTCAACGATATTATTATTTCTACTCCCAGGAAAACAATGGGCTCCGTCCGGTGAGAGTACCAGCCAGCCAATCGTGGTAGTGGTAGTAGGGCAAAAGCAGACGAACGAGGTAGTAGCTTGGAAACTTAACGTGCCGTAACATCGGATGTCACGGGTCAACTCTTCCGACCCCCGACCGACCTAACGAGTGCATTGAACTGGTGCAACTTCACAGATCGGCGTTATCCGAGTCAAAAGGATGGGCCAGGGCGGTCGCCTAATCAGCGGATCAGGTCTCTCGGTGCAAGGGAGGCGCACGCACACATGGACACGGTATGTGTGGCCGCCCGAGACCAACCCACCTCACACGTGCATCGGATTCCACCTGGTGGATGGATCCGTCGCGTCGCGTGCCGCTGGAGAACGGGTCGAACAGCAAGCAACGTCCCCCGGGGGGCCAGGACGCCAGACGCGCGCGGACGCTGCTCCGCAGAAGATCCGCGCCACCGTATCGCCGTCTCCAGCTTGCCGAGCCCGCGCTGATTTCGTGAGATTCCACGTCCACTGGATTCGCAATCGCAGCGCGGACGTTGAAACGGAAGAAAACACGAGACGCGCTCTCCCTCCCTCCCCCCTCGCGCGTCACGTGGGCCGGCCGGCCCACGCGGCCGCGGGCAGCCGATTCGAACCAAGAGGAGATCAATGCGGAGAAGCGGCCGGACGGCGGGGCCGAACCCCTCGAACGAACGCCCAGAAAATCTCAGGCAGGAGGAGGGGATCCCGTGTAGCTTACGGGAAACGGCGTCGTGGAGCGTCGCAGAGGTGAAACATACCCGGTCACAGAGAAAAAAGAAACTTCACTGTTCGTATCACCGAGATGGCAATACTCGCCTTTATAGCTCACCCGGCTCGCGATGCAAGCGGACAGAGAGCATGATCTACGCGAAGCAGCTGGGGCGCTCCGGCCATGGACCACGATGCGCGTACGTACAAGCCTGTTCGTTTGGCTGGTTCGTATTCGTTCTGGTTCGTGAAGAAATATTGCTAGCTGGTTTATGTGAGATAAAAATACTATCCCACTAAAAATTTACGATCATTTACGACAAGCCACAGCCAAACGAACATACAGCCAAACGAACATGATAACTACCCGCAACAAGTGGGCAGCATCTGGGCGGGCCAGTCAGCTCCAAGCCAGGCTCCAGATGAGTTGGTTGCTTTCACAGAGGGGCGCCACTGCCACTGCCGCTGCCGCTGCCAGCCAGCCAGCCCCGCCAGACGCGGACGCGCGCGCGCACACACAAACGGACATACGAGGCGCTGCCGGTGGGCCCCGCGCGCAGGGACCATGGCTGGAGGAGCCGAGCCGAGCGTTCCTGCCCTGCGGTGGCCATGCCCTGGCCATCAATGTGGGCGTGAGACCTCCTCGAGTCCTCGTCCTCTTGGCGCCAGGCAGTCTGGGTCCCTCCTGTGCGCAGGCAGGGCGAGAGCGAGACGAACCATAGCGCAGTGCAGGAGGCTACAGGGCAAGGCATGGACGTTTGGTCGTTTGCCCAGTAAATCGTGAGGCAGCACTAGTCGAAGACTCCTGCCGTACTGCGTGCAGCAGTGGAGATCTAGGGATGTTTTTTTTTTCCCGTTTTCTTGCTTGCTAAGGGCTTCTCCAGTGAGCTACTGAAAAGTGACTCATGGGCTGAGGTGGCATGCCCCGAGTCGACTCGTGCCACTGGAGCAATCGACTCATCTAATGAGAGAGATTGAATCAATTCACATGCGTGAGCCGATTCATTGCCTGTCAAAAAACAATTAAAATAAAGAAACACGAACGACTGATGACTCCTTGAGAGAGAGGCCGGACAAAAGCAAGTACTAGAAAACTGTTTTTTTATTTGGCAACAGAAAGTAACAGTTGTAATAGCGTTGTTTATTTATGCATAGGACCCACTTAACACAGAAATCGACTCATCCAAAAATAACGTGGCCGTCCTTTTTCTTCGATGCATCGACTCATCACTAAAGATGACTTTAATGTAGCCGCTGCTCTCTCCTCTCACATATGCACATGTATGTCCCCTGTTGGGAGTGGCAGGGCGAGCTGCCTGTGTGACTGTAACTGTAACCAGGTCGAATCGACAGTTCGATGCTGTAAAATTTTTTGACAGCTGGAAGCCATTTCCCCCCGACATATCCAACCGTATTTTAGAGACATCATGTGCCTGCTGCCGGTTTGAATCATTTTGCAAATACTCTCTGCGGTATAAAATAAATCAACTTCTAGAAATATTTAGTCAAGCTATTTTGATTTTGATCAAGTTATATAAAAAGAGTATCGATATTTATGACATCATATTTTTATAATCCATTTATTTGATGTTATAGATATTGTTATTCTTTACTCAAAGTTAGTTAAATTTAAGAAAATTTAATTTAGAACAATTCTAAAAGTTGATTTATTTGGAATGCAGGGACCATGGAATTGAATAATTGTTAGGTGAAGTCAGAATATTCTACTAGAACATATTTCCTTATCCTTTATGTCGGGGTTATAACCCGGAGTGTCTCAAGACATTGATTAGACAGTAGGCCAAACAGCTCACGATACATCGGCTAGCAAAAGCCCAAACGACCGAGGCCTAGCTAAGCTAAGTGACCCAGGCCGGACGCTAAAGCCAGGGTCAGCCACGACCCCTTTCTTCCACCTTAGCCGCACGACGCGCAAAAGACTCACGACCTCTGCGCCGTCCCGACCCCTAGGAGGGACGGGGAGAGGTCAGGCTCAGCCAAACACGCCTCGCTCTGATAAGAGTAGACAAAACGCATTGACCCCGCAAGGACCGAGGAGAACTGGATCTCGCGGTTTATGGCGGAGACGCTCTCGGAACTGCCCTCCGCGGCAGCATCCCAAAGTTCACCTATATAGGGGGCCAATACCCTCTCTCGTCACCGGTCATGGCCAAGTCTTCCACCTAGGAAGCCTCAGGTGCATGGCTCAGCGCAAGCTCACCTGGGGATGGCCTCCACCGGCTTCATCCTTTTGAGAAACCACAAGATTATCTGCACAAATGGGTCAGCGCCCATCACCAGCTTTGTACCTCGTCGAGGGCATCCGCATTGGGAACATAGGTGTGGCGGTAGAACCACGAAATGGTATAGTTAAAATTTTTGTTAGGCTTTGATGTGTACGTAATCACCGTACATCAGACGTTGGCCAATTATGTAAACTTGTACAGTTGTACTCGTACTAATACAGCGCGTGGTCCTGCTATTGAAGCACGCCATCTTTTAATTTGTACCGGCACATGCGTTTGACAGCCTAATCTAGCACTTATCTAGAAATATGCCAACATACATGAATACACATATTACCCGTCACTGCAAACCAACATCTTCGGACGACTAGCATTTGTGGGTATCGTCTCCGTGCAAGAGATTGCTGCTAGTCGCGAGCAATTGGAATTTCTGTCGGTGCCTTTTGCCTGGCAGGAATTTCACATGGATTCCTAATCTAGCAATTCTGCATTTCTGCCTTGCTTGGCCACACGATGGAATTGATTGAAGCCGACTGAACAGTTCCACACCTTTCCACCTACTACCATATAAAAATATCTAAAGCGAGAAGTTACAATTCTGCTAACAGTTACTCTCAGCCTATGATGGATCTGTTTAGCAAGTAGCAACACACTAGTTGGATGGAAAAGGCCTGGGTAAAACTGAACACACTACACACAGGCTAGGCAGGCTGGGTAAAACAAGCATCAGCTGTCAGTCGCAAAACTCCAGACTTGGAATCTGGAAACCGAAGAAGCCGTGAGACTGGACTCACAAAAATCTCTCTCCCGTCACCCACGTGGCGTGTGGTCACACGTTCCATCCAGTCCAGCGTGGTTAATGTAACGATGGGATTAAGCCCAGATGATGGAGTACGTGCGGCCGCATTTATTCCTTCTCGCAGTTTCCTGGTGAGCCTATGAATGCGAGTGACGTCCCTTGGTCTTGAGCATACGTACCGTTGTCCACTGCCCGCCCGCTGGGACCCCGCCATTAGTGCGACGCAACACACAACCGAAAACGATCTAGGAGCATTCCAAAGCTCCAACGGAACCGATCGCTTGGGGGGGATTGGGATTGGGATTGGGACGGATCTTGGAGGCTCGGACTGCAGCCAGCGCCAGTCGCCAGACCACGACCGTCGGTCCGTCGCCCACTGGTGCCCGCCGCGTGGCCGCGTCGTTCCGAGGCCACCAGGGCCGTCGGATGCGCACGGGAATAAGAGGGCGACACGCAAACGGACGGGACAGCGGAGGGAGGATTTGGATTCGCCCTCGCCGGCTCGCCGCTCGCCGCTCGCCGCTCGCTACCCTCCTCCTCTACAGTACGTACGAGTAGTACTCCGCTGCTCCTGCTCGCGGAATCCGAGGTTGAAATGAAACAAATCCAAATCCAATCCAATCCCCGCCTAAACCCGACAAGGGTCTGTCGCCATCCCCGCGTCCGGTCGCCCGGATGGACGGCCCAGATTACTACACGGGGAGTATCTTGATTAACACCACCAGCTCTACTACTACGTGAGCAGGAGGATTCTATGAGTTGATTAGGCCATGTTTGGTTTCATAAGTCAGGTGAAAACCAGTGACTTATAAGTCATGTCTGTTTGGTTGTAGATGACTTATAAACTCATTAAAGATATGGGCCCCACGCGAAAAGGGTGACTTATAAGTTTTAAGCAGGGGTGAACCAACTTAAAACTTATAAGCAGGGGTAACTTATAAATTGATAGTGTTTGACAAAATAAATCACTTATTTTATTTTTTAATTTATAAGTAGGTGACTTATTTGAACCAAACAGCTCCTCAGTCTAGTGCTCCTATAGTCCGTGCAGCATTACGGAAGACACGCTGTCACCGGGCTGCTCCTCGTGATCCTGGCAAAAGGGCGTGCGCGGGGGGCCCACATGTCAGGCCCAGGTACTCGGATGGAACCAACCGGGCCGCGCGCGCATCGACATCGCATCGCATCTAGTAAACTCACACAAACCCGAGCTGGCTGCGGTACTTTCCCCCAGGCCTCACTCTCAGTCTCAGCGCCCGGGTGGGCCCCGCGTCCAGGCCCTTTGGGTTTGGGGGCATCTGCGGCCGCGGCCATTGGATCGATCAAAAGAGCGAGAGAGAACAGCAGCAGCGAATAGGATTACAATACAGCTGATTGATTGTTTTTCTCCAACCCCACTTTATTACCGTGCTTTATTTTCTCTCTCCTCACGTTCTCTCTCCTGTTTCTTCTTCTTCACTTCCTTTCAATGTGCTGTGAGTGGAATTGCTGATGTGCTGATGTGCACTGTTCATTGATGTTTTGCCAAGCCACATGACATGCAATAGCACACGTAGATAACTGATAACCTTGATGACCTCATATTAGTTCAGTTTCATCACTTAATAATAACCCGGATGTGGCCTGGCAAAACTATACACTCCAGCTAGCGGCGACATCTGCCGGGCGGTACGAGCCAAGATCTTCTCAAGCTGGTGCTACCTCACCTGCCAGCCATCCTTTCCATTTGTTGCGGGATTTGCAGCCTCCATCACAACAACCCATCATTTCTCTTATACTAATAAATAAATAAACAACCCATAATTTTCTTTGCTGCAACCTACTAAAACAGGCGCCCCAGATCCCCTGGTTCGCAAGGAGAAAGGTTGGTTGTGTTTTAGGTATTCATTTATTAAGACGCCCGACTAAACATGTGGTGACAAAGATTATTAGGAAAGCTGAGTGCTCGTGAATTATGTGATCCAACTGCCGTTGAATTTCTCGATTTCTCATCCAATCGCCCGTGCTAACAAAAGAGCCTGGATTAAGCAACACGGAGAAAGTATCAAAACATATCACTATCTGATAGAATGATGAATATACCCTATATACACTATATATTATTTTTTAGAAAAATACACTATATATTAATATAAAATGCAGAGATAAAATCTAACACTTGTAGGGATAATTCGAAAAGGTTCACAGCGACAATAATACGGTGACCTAGCCGCCGGAAGAACCGGGTACGGACGCTGCAGGGGGGTCGGGTCATGTGAGCTGGGAAAAAAAAGTGTCACGAGGAGTAAAGACGGCCGATTTTTTAAAGCTCTGGAAAGGAAGTTTGGTGCTGTGATCCTCTGGAGCAGCATGATTTTTATATGGAGTTGTTTCTCTCTCTCCCCCACCAGCAAGCAAAGGGAGCGGACAGATTCTCTCTCTCATGTCATGAAGAGTCACAGTCCCCCTTCGGACGGAGTCTTTCTACTACTGCCACCCAAGGAAACACGGAGATAAATCAATCATGACACGAAAATCAGCTAATACTACTTTGTTTCAATTTCAATAAATACTAATGGAACAGCTTGGTTATCACGGCTTATCGATAATGATAATCATACTGTTCGCTGATGCTAAAATTTAATTTATATTCTAAAAAGTAGTTTCTGAATAAAATCAAAGGAACGTGACGAATATAATTAGTTCCGGCGGAGAAAAAATTCTGATGGAGACAGCAGCAGGTGGGGAGTGAAAACAAGT